CTGAGCCGCGCCGACGGCCTCGAGCCCTGCCTGGTGGAGGTGCCGTTGCAGCTAGCCGTTCGTCCGCGTCTGGCTGTGGTCCCCTGTGCCCCAGAGCACATGATCAGACAGCCATGCCGGTGTAGTGACTCAGGCTGTCCTTACCAGGCTCAGTCGGCGGTCCTTTTTTTACTACCAGGGGCAGTCCTTGGTCCTTCTGTACAGGGCTTGTTCTTCTTAGCACAGACACATGCTTTGCGAGCTGTTTTGTTTCTTTGTCGTTGTTGGAACCGGCCCACAGGCCGCAGTAACCAACACTTGGCCACTTCTTCGCACCGCACCGACTACGACCACGACCACGACCACGACCACGACCACGACCACGACTACGACTACGACTACGACTACGACTACGACTACGACTACGACTACGACTACGACTACGACTACGACTACGTACTACTANNTACTACTGCTGCTACTGCTACTTCTTCTTCTGCTACTACTACACTTACCGTTGCCACCGCTGCTGCTACTACTACTACTACTACTACCACTTACCACTACCACCACTACTACTACTGCTACTACCGCTACTACTGCTACTGCTACTGCTACTGCTGCTGCTGCTACTACTACTACTACTACTTTTTTAATGACTACTACTACTACTACTACTACTACTACTTCTTCTTCTACGACTAGTACTACGACTAGTACTACGACTAGTACCATTTCTACTATTACTATTTCCATTACTATTGCTGCCACTACTACTACTACTACTACTACTATTACTACTGCTACTCCTGCTACTACTACTGCTACTACTACTACTACTACTACTACTACTGCTACTACCACTGCTACTACTACTACTACTACTACTACTACGACTACTACGACGACTGCGACTACGACTACGACTACGACTACGACTACGACTACGACTACGTACTACTACTGCTGCTACTGCTACTTTTTCTTCTGCTGCTACTACACTTACCGTTGCCACCTACTGCTACTGCTACTGCCTTCACTACTGCTACTACTACTACTACTGCTGCTGCTGCTGCTGCTGCTACTGCTATTGCTACTGCTACTGCTCCTCCTCCTCGTCGCCTCGCCATGCCGGTGGTGTTTGAAGCCTATTTAAATATTGAAAACCGAAAGTGTGCGAGAGAGCAGTAAAGCTTCTGAACAAGTCCTAGCTGCATGAAGGAAGGCTTTATGGAGTAGGAATATTTAGTACATGTATCCCCCTACAGAGTACCATAGAGTTCTTGTCCATGTCTACCTCTATATACCCCAAAACCCCCGTCGAATTATTTAGGGCGCTAGATAGGAGACCCCCTAATCTCTATCCGACCCTTTAGACATCCCCACATGACATCCTTTTCTCAACGTGCCTTGTTTCCAGGATGGGTCGATCATGCCAACATCAACTGCGTCCCAGGCCTGGATAAAGTTTAGAGCATGAGACGTTGCTTAGGGGCTTACAAACCCTAATGCCCAGAATGAACCACAATACCAAACGCCCTAGAAATGTATAGCCCCAATGCCTAAAATACCCTGATGCGGAATACCTTTTGAGGGCAAAATGCGGGTTTCAGGAAGCGGAACTTCTGAAAGGCGTTGCACCCGGCCATTGAATAGCAGATGGAAGTGGAGGGTAGGGCCCATTGCATGGTTTCCGGGACCGGAGGGGTGCTGAAGAAGCTTAACTTGAAGATACCACAGTAGGGATATACTGTAAAGAACACAGTATGCCCTCCTTTTTTAGGTTGACTTATCGATGCCAATCGGTCTGCACACGAGCAGTCGCAAGAATGAGGCTGAGAGCTTTAGTATTTAGGGGTCTTGAGGGTTTTAGGGGTCTTGAGGGTTTTCGGGGTTTGGGAGAAAACAAGCCTTCTGCGGCTGCTTTACGGTTTTCGGCTGGCTGCGAAAAGCTGAGGATTTTGAGGGTGTGGAGAGCCGGCATGCCCCTTAAACCCTTAAGCCCCTAAACCGCATCCGTATACACCCCTAAACCCCTAAACCCTAAACCCCTAAACCCCCAAACCCTAAACCCCCAAGCCCTAAACCCCCAAACCCTGAGCCACTTCCTTGATCACCTGCTTCTTCCAGGCCAGGGCGCGCAGTATGGGCCCTTAACTCTAAGACCCTAATATACCTACTATATACCCTATATATACCCTTAAGGGACCCTAGAATCCCCTAAGGGCCCATGTTAGGGGACCCTAAACCCTAAACCCTAAACCCTAAACCCTAAACCCTAAACCCTAAACCCCCATGGGTTCAACCTTAGCTTCTTCCAGGCCAGGGCGCGCAGGCGCTCTCCGGCCAGCCGGAGCCGTTCCACAGCCCCCCGGCCACCCAATACTACTTTGAGGGTTTAGGGTTTAGGGTTTAGGGTTTAGGGTTTAGGGTAGTTAGTATATTATACACTCACAACCTTATTCTAATTATGAAGGCCCCTATATTAAGCCACAGGGGCATGGTTCCACAGCCCCCCGGCCGGCTCTGAGCCCGAAGCTGCGATGCCGCAGGGAACCAAATAGGTTTAGGGTTGAGGGTTTAGGGCTTGGGGTACGATGTGCTGCGGGGGACATTGGCCGGGCGAGCTCCAATCAAGCCTGTGTAAAAAAGGGCTTGGGGTAAATACTATTTTAAGGGTTCCTTATCGTAGTTGAACTATATATTCCACCCAAATCTGTATTTTAATTATGAAGGAAAATAAGAGATTATGAAGGCTCCTATATTAAGCCACGGGCATGTATAGTGGTCCCGAGAAGTGGGATGACAACTGGCCTGATTGGTTCAGGGCTTTTGCCAGCTCTTGTCTGCAGTTGGGTTTCTTGAATAGCAGACCCATGGTCCCACCAAAGGAGTTGCAAGGCCAACCATACGCCCTCAAACAAAGACTGTTCTAGATTCTAGGGTACCTTTGACAGATTCCTAGAAGAGCACGAACTTGGGTTGCCTTGGCAGCAACTCCTTTACCTGCAACTGGGCCATGCTAAGGGCCTGTATTGCGAACACGGATCTGGAGTCCTTCTACCAGTGATGCCAATGAAGCAGCCTTTTTCTTAACAAGCCCTTGAATCCTTGAGCCGCACGTATCTTCGGTGTGGTTATGCTGAGCTAAAGATGATGAACTCCAAGAACTAAACCTAAGCCCTAAACCCTACTGCAGCTCCGCCGGGAAGCAAGGAAGTTTTCGAGATTTAAGAACCTTCCTCAGGATCCACGATCAAGCAGCAGGGCGGGGGTTTTGAAGAGCTTTTTTTTTAAACGTCTGCAAGCGTTTCAGAAAGCAGTTAAGGGTTTCATCTGCCGCGTGTTGCGTTTAGTACCATTCTCCCCTCTTTCTGAGGTTCAATGCATCCGCTGGATTGCCTGAAGGCTTGTGAAGATATGCCTGATTGCCAGGCCTGCAGTGCTACACCTCGGCTTTTGGGTTTAGGGTTTAGGGTTTTGGGTTATTTAGGGTTTAGGGTTTTTGGTTATTTAGGGTTTAGGGTTTAGGGTTTTGGAGGTTTGTGAAAAGACATCGGCGGGCTTAGGCTTAGTCAGTAGGGATGTAAGTCTTGTTATTGCTAGGGTGCTTGCTTATAACCTTCTTACTGAGCAGCTGCCCTAAACCCTAAACCCTAAACCCAATAGAGTCAACGCTTGGAATTTCTGTCCCATGGGTACTTGGGTACTCCAGAGCTTCACCTCGGAGCCTGCTCTTCCATGTAGGGCTGCCGAGCGTAGTTCCCATTTTGGGGTTTCCGAAAATAGGGGACCCTAATATAGTACCCTAAATAGTAGGATCCTTATAATAAGGACCCCAAAATAAGGTACCTCCCAATTTTCGGAAACTCCCATTTTGGTTTCTGTTGATGCTGCCATCGCTGCTGTTGGTTGTTTGTGCTGATGTTGGTGGTGTTGTTGCTGGTGGTGATGGTGGTGACGGCCGGCCATAGGGTCGTTGCTCCTTC